AGTCCTACCTTCGCACCTTGAATGGAGAAAGAAGTCAATAAACTGAAAATGGCGCTGATATCAATTATGACTTTGGTCGGCATCGTAACCACAATAAACTGCCAAGTGCTACGGCTAACTGGTTTAACGTCATCATTGATATTACTGGTAGTTTGGTTCCAGTTTCGATGCCTAGGCCTTTTCACTTTGGCACAACTTCTCTCAAGTCAAGATTCTTCCTATGTTTTCTTTAGCCGTTCCACTTTGTGATTATTGAGTGATATAGGCGCAACATAGAAACAATGTAATTTCCGAATCTGACGTAAGAATGTAATTCCTGAATCTCACATAAGAGGAAGAAAAGTACAATTGTAAGTGGTATATATATACATATAAACATAAAGACCACTACCATTAAAAGTTTGAGTTTGAACTAGAACTTGGCCTAAAATGTTGTTTGACAAATTATAGACTTTAACTTGAGTTGTTTCAATTAGTATCATAAAAGTTCCCCTCACGGAGCAATTGAAGGTGTCCCTTTAATTTGGCAATAGCTTAGAGTGGATAGTGTATGGTTGACGAGCTTCAGCCTTCTGAATCTCACATCGGGTGGATGTTGTGATTTTGTGCCTATTTAGATTGAACCTAAGTGAGCTTGACAAGAACGTCAAGGGTTTAAATGGGGAGATGTAATATCTCAATCCTATATTAGAAGAAAATTATGATTGTAAATGTTATATATTTGTAAAGATTAACTACTATTAGTAACTTTAATTTAAACTTTTGACAATGTGGATCTTGATCTAAAAAATTATTAAATCAATTGTGAGTTTTGTCTTGAGTTATTTTAGATAAGTTAAAACTATAATTATTATGTGTACAGTGTAAATATCACATTTACCCTATATAATTCTAGCCTTTTTAGAAGTCAATTTCCGAATTCAAGAGAGGGAGATAATGGGAATTGTAATTTGTTTATTCCAAATAAAACTAGCCTTTTTTATAGGCTTTACATAATAACTGAATAAGTAAAAACCATTTAAACTAGCCTAATTAAAGATCCTGACAGAAATCACAGTGAGTGAGCATGCAAGTAGTTTACTCTTCAAACACATTAGTGCCATGATGAAATCACAGAATTGAAAGAAATCTAATTTGAAAAAAAAATGAGGAATATTTAACATGTTTCTCCAATTTATTTTCATCAAGTGGAAGTAGGTGTTTTTTATTTTTTTTCTCCTCGTACCGTTATTAACGTTGTTGTAATTGTTATTTGGTTCTTGCGCCATTAACTAGTTATTTGTTGAATCCTGCAGGTTGGATACTATGGGTTGAAAAATTTGAAGATCTCTGAGTTTGAGCTTGTTGATCAGGCAATTATTGAAATTTGAAACAGGAATCCTAGAAAAATCCTACCTTTTAGAAATCTTAAATCTTTAGAAGTTTCTGGTTATAGCAGCTGGAGATACCTTTTAACCCCTTCTATGGCATTGTGCCTCGCGAAACTCCAAGATTTAAAAGTCTCAAATTGTGCCACAATGGAGCATGTGATCACGGGAGATGGAGCTGATGAGGTGTTACCGCAGCTAAATTCCATCAATTTGGAGTCTTGTTCTAAACTGACATGTTTCTATGAGGGAAGCAGTATGCTTAACCTTCCATCTTTGAAAAAAATCAAAGTGGCTAACTGTACAGCAATGGTTACCTTTGTCTCTGGGTCTTCAAAAGAGCAAGACAATGGAAGTACTTCTGATTGTGGAGGAAGTGAAGAAAGGCATGATATCCTTGTTCAACCATTTTTCAGCAATAAGGTCAGTTTTATTCTAGAAATAATTTACTATACATAGTATTTATTGGCATTTTTTGTGCTGATGCTGTTGTTCAGCTTTAGCGCATACCTCTCAATCATCCTTTAATAGTCTATTAACTATTCCTTTTTATTTATTTTGTTTATTAACTATTTTTTT